AGAGTGAGCAGCGGGTGACATGCACACCCACTGCTCCACACACACTATTCTAGCACTTTTGAACACATTTGTGCTACATATGGTGTGTGTGTGGGGGGGGAGGGAAGGGGTTGAGAACGGGGGTAAGGGGTTTAAAAGGGAAGAGAGGAGATGGGAAGACAGGTGAAGGGGGTGGGAAGATGGGTGGAGAGAGGAGATGTGGAGGAAAGGGGAAGAGAGATGGGGAAAGGGGGGCCAGCAAGACCCGGGCACCGCCTGATACCCGCATTTAGTAATATTAACTTTAATTAGCCTGCCACGTGGTATAGTGTGTGTGTGACACCCAGTTACGGTGAAGGGTCAGGTAGTTACGGTGAGCCTACCACGCCCTTCTCGCAGGATAGTTAGTGATCAACCTCTCCTCTTACAAATTACGTCGCTTTTCGCGATATGCGCACTATCTTATCTTGAGATGGTTATCTTGAGATGATTTCGGGGCATAGCGATCCCGCGGCCCGGTCCTCGACCAGGCCAAAAATTGTAGTATTACAAAATGAAAGCGGCTCACGAAAGTGATGTACTGTCCCGTTTTCTGTTTTAGGTCCTCTGGCTTACTCGGTTAGGTTAGGAGAGGAAACATTTAATTAACCGTTTTCATGACGTTTTGAATCCTTAGGAGACCTTCCTGCCCTCCTAACCTGCCACAGGACCCTTAACTGGCTGCTTTAGTTCCATTCTATTTTCAAAATTAATTTGAATTTTCTGAAAATTGAAATACGGCCATTTTTTGGCTGAGGTGCGTACGGGCGAAAAGCGACGTATTATATCAGAAGACGTGTTAGTGTTACTGGGCCCTGTACCCATCGCTTGTGTACCCATTATGGGGTCATCCTCTACACCCATTATGGGGTCATCCTCTACACCCATTATGGGGTCATCCTCTACACCCATTATGGGGTCATCCTCTACACCCATTATGGGGTCATCCTCTACACCCATTATGGGGTCATCCTCTACACCCATTATGGGGTCATCCTCATCACCCATTATGGGGTCATCCTCTACACCCTTTATGGGGTCATCCTCATCACCCATTATGGGGTCATCCTCTACAACCATTATGGGGTCATCCTCATCACCCATTATGGGGTCATCCTCATTGAGTGCCTCCACTCAATGAGGATGGCACTCGTAGGCGGCACTCAGGCAGGCGGCACTCAGGCAGGCGGCACTCTGGCAGGCGGCACTCTGGCAGGCGGCACTCAGGCAGGCGGCACTCAGGCAGGCGGCACTCTGGCAGGCGGCACTCTGGCAGGCGGCACTCTGGCAGGCGGCACTCTGGCAGGCGGCACTCAGGCAGGCGGCACTCAGGCAGGCGGCACTCTGGCAGGCGGCACTCTGGCAGGCGGCACTCTGGCAGGCGGCACTCTGGCAGGCGGCACTCAGGCAGGCGGCACTCAGGCAGGCGGCACTCTGGCAGGCGGCACTCTGGCAGGCGGCACTCTGGCAGGCGGCACTCTGGCAGGCGGCACTCTGGCAAAATTCCCACAATGAGCGCCACATAAGTGACGGGACAACAGCGGTCCGTAATAGTGACGGTACTCCCGTGCCCAGGGAGCGTCCGCCCCCGTCATAGCTTGCCACCAAGTCCCGATAAACTGCCGCAGAGCGAAACTTGACGAGTGGCCGGTGGGTCGTTAACACCTGGGAGTCCGTACACGTCGGCCACCCGAACTCGTAGCATATCCAGCAACTCAAGTTTAGGGTATGACGCTCGGCTAGAAAATTGAAGCCCAATCGTTTCAGTCCGGCGAGCAGGGGGGTAGTGGGGTCCCCATGTCGCCGACACACCAAGCAAAGCCCTCTCTCACACGGCCAGCACCGGCCAACGGCTCCTAACGGATCTTCAGTTGCAAGGTTTTGGATTTAATTTCAAACACCAATGAAGTTTGTAAATGAGAATTTATAATGTGGAATTGTTGGCCCGGGAAGGTCTTTGAGATCCAGGAGCTGAGGAGCACGGCGACGCGCTCTATCACTTCTTGTGCTCATATTTGAGCGCTCTGGTAACATGTTCTCCAGAACATAAGTCAGTCTCTTATATTGTGACAGACATAGATGGCCTCTCAATCACCCTTGTCTTACCGCTTAACAAGCGTCGGGAATTAAGTGGTTTACCTAAACATAGCTTACACACCCTGACCGCCACCCTAGCCAGGGAGACACATACACCCTTCAGCACAAGAATGCGTCCAAATTTAGACGCTTTTAGTACCACAAATGCACCTCAATTTGAACGATTACTTATTAGCAGAGAAAGACCTAAAGCGCACGCGCGCAATCGCTCCCCCTCCCCCTCTCCCCCGGGACAATAGTTCCTGCCTTCTGCTGCTTCCTTTGTTCTTATGTACCATGATAGTCATGGGGTCGCTGGAGTGTTTCAAGCGCAGGCTAAACATCTGACAATGACTTTGGCTGGACATAAATCTGAGCTGAATCATATAGACTAATATACGCCTTCTGCAGTTGTGTTAGTTACGGTCTTATCGTTTTAGAATATATATATATATATATATATATAAATATATATATATATATATATATATATATATATATATATATATATATATATATATATATATATATATATATATATATATATATATATATATATACATACATACCCCTCTCTAAAGGTTCACAACCTATACTGACTATCTCTAGGGATTATCAGGTCAATTTAGACTCAAGAGGTCCCTAAGTGGCTTAAATTGGTCCCTAAGGCTCTTTCTGATCTGGCCTCAGGATTCATCCAGTACTTAATGCTGCACTTTACGAAACCTTTACATCTTTTCTCAAACTTGGCGGCATATTTGCATTTATTAAAGAGTTTATGAGCTCTGAAGCTTTTGTGAGGTTATTAATAACAATTACCTAGGGTTGTGATGGGTCCAAGGGCGTAAATTGCTCAATAAATATAGACCATGCCGCCATGATGGCAGTAAGATGTACAGGTTTCGTAAGCTGTAACTAAAGTGCTCCATGAATCCAAGAATTATCATTGAATGGTTTGAATTCAATGAAAACTTGATTGATCGTTGATAAGTGCTTCCTGCCAGAGTGCCACCTGCCAGAGTGCCACCTGCCAGAGTGCCACCTGTCAGTGCCACTTACCAGAGTGCCACCTGTGAGAGTGCCACCAGCCATAGTGCCACCTGCCAGAGTGCCACCTGCCAGAGTGCCACCTGCCAGAGTGCCACCTGCCAGAGTGCCACCTGCTAGAGTGTCACCTGCCAGAGTGCCACCTACCAGAGTGCCACCTGCTAGAGTGCCACCTGCCAGAGTGCCACCTGTCAGTGCCACTTGCCAGAGTGCCACCTCCCAGAGTGCCACCTCCCAGAGTGCCACCTGCCAGAGTGCCACCTGCCAGAGTGCCACCTGCCAGTGCCACCTGCTAGTGCCACCTGACAGAGTGCCGCCTGCCAGAGTGCCGCCAGCCAGAGTGCCACCTGCTAGTGCCACCTGCCAGAGTGCCGCCTGCCAGAGTGCCGCCAGCCAGAGTCCCACCTGCCAGAGTGCCACCTGCCAGAGTGCCACCTGCCAGAGTGCCGCCTGCCAGAGTGCCGCCAGCCAGAGTGCCACCTGTCAGGGTGCCACCTACCAGAGTGCCACCAGCCAGAGTGCCACCTGCCGGAGTGCCACCTACCAGAGTGCCACCTGCCAGAGTGCCACCTACCAGAGTGCCGCCAGCCAGAGTGCCACCTGTCAGTGCCACCTGCCAGAGTGCCACCTACCAGAGTGCCACCTGCCAGAGTGCCACCTGCCAGAGTGCTACCTGCCAGAGTGCCACCTGCCAGAGTGCCACCTTCCAGAGTGCCACCTGCCAGAGTGCCGCCAGCCAGAGTGCCGCCAGCCAGAGTGCCATCTGCCAGAGTACCACCTGCCAGAGTGCCACCTGCCAGAGTGCCGCCTGCCAGAGTGCCACCTGCCAGAGTGCCACCTGCTAGAGTGCCACCTGCCAGAGTGCCGCCTGCCAGAGTGCCACCTGCTAGAGTGCCACCTGCCAGAGTACCACCTGCCAGAGTGCCACCTGCTAGAGTGCCACCTGCCAGAGTGCCACCTGCCAGAGTGCCACCTGCTAGAGTGCCACCTGCCAGAGTGCCGCCTGCCAGAGTACCACCTGCCAGAGTGCCACCTGCTAGAGTGCCACCTGCCAGAGTGCCACCTGCCAGAGTGCCACCTGCTAGAGTGCCACCTGCCAGAGTGCCACCTGCCAGAGTGCCGCCTGCTAGAGTGCCACCTGCAAGAGTGCCACCTGCCAGAGTGCCACCTGCTAGAGTGCCACCTGCCAGAGTGCCACCTACCAGAGTGCCACCTGCTAGAGTGCCACCTGCTAGAGTGCCACCTGCCAGAGTGCCACCTGCCAGAGTGCCACCTACCAGAGTGCCACCTGCTAGAGTGCCACCTGCCAGAGTGCCACCTACCAGAGTGCCACCTGCCAGAGTGCCACCTGCCAGAGTGCCACCTGCCAGAGTGCCGCCTGCCAGAGTGCCGCCTGCCAGAGTGCCACCTGCCAGAGTGCCACCTGCCAGAGTGCCGCCTGCCAGAGTGCCGCCTGCCAGAGTGCCACCTGCCAGAGTGCCACCTGCTAGAGTGCCACCTGCCAGAGTGCCACCTGCTAGAGTGCCACCTACCAGAGTGCCACCTGCCAGAGTGCCACCTGCTAGAGTGCCACCTGCTAGAGTGCCACCTGCTAGAGTGCCACCTGCCAGAGTGCCACCTACCAGAGTGCCGTCGATATTATAATAATAAAAGGCTTCAAATCACTAATGGTATCGTTGGGTGTTTCTGTAATAAAATATGAATTTATATACAAAAAATTGGAGTGGGGTCGGGGGAAGGGAAGGGGGGGTGGGGTGGGGGAGTGAAGGGGGGTGGGGTGGGGGAGGGTGTAAGGGGTGATCAACTAGCGGGATTAATTTACTCTAAAGATGCCGATCACAAAACTAGATAAAAAAAAACACAGTTCTAAACAGCATTAAGTTTTATGTTGCATTTCATGAGGTTTTGGGTTCCAGGCCGGTGCCGCATACTGGCCAGATAGACACGCTACGGTCTTCAATAATGGAACACTTGTCCAAGTTCCCCCACTGTCTTTGTGTTCTTATCTTGTTAGGGGTGCTTGGGCTTACCGGGGGGGGGGGAGGGTGTCTCTGGGGAAGGGGGTGCATTCTGTGGGGGGGGGGTGGTGGGGAGTAAGGACTGGGGGCATAAGGACCACACACTCCCTGAGGGGAATATACCGGCTGGCAGCCCCCGGGGACTTCGTTGGGCCTCACAGGAGAGGGCCACGGAGGTCCCACAAGTAACTGACCTCAGGCATACATAGGTGACCTGGCCCCCCCCCCTCCCCCAGCCCCCGCCCCACGGGGCCCGGTACTCACCTCGTCCGAAGCACTCCGGCGAGAGCGTGAAGTCGTCAAAGCCGAGGTCGCCCCTGAAACTAGCGGCTCGCACGTTCACCACTACCACCTTATACCTGCAGGGGCAAGGGAGGTCAAAGGTCAGTCACCTGGGGGAGAGTACTTACTCGGGAGCCAACTGGTAAGGGTTAAGGTCACAGGCACCAGCTGGAAGGTCACACAGTCACCAGCTGGAAGGTCACACAGTCACCAGCTGGAAGGTCACACAGTCACCAGCTGGAAGGTCACACAGGCACCAGCTGGAAGGTCACACAGGCACCAGCTGGAAGGTCACACAGTCACCAGCTGGAAGGTCACACAGTCACCAGCTGGAAGGTCACAGTCACCAGCTGGAAGGTCACACAGGCACCAGCTGGAAGGTCACACAGTCACCAGCTGGAAGGTCACACAGGCACCAGCTGGAACGTCACACATGCACCAGCTGGAAGGTCACACAGTCACCAGCTGGAAGGTCACACAGTCACCAGCTGGAAGGTCACACAGTCACCAGCTGGAAGGTCACACAGGCACCAGCTGGAAGGTCACACAGGCACCAGCTGGAAGGTCACACAGTCACCAGCTGGAAGGTCACACAGGCATCAGCTGGAACGTCACACAGGCACCAGCTGGAAGGTCACAGTCACCAGCTGGAAGGTCACACAGGCACCAGCTGGAAGGTCACACAGGCACCAGCTGGAAGGTCACACAGTCACCAGCTGGAAGGTCACACAGTCACCAGCTGGAAGGTTACACAGTCACCAGCTGGAAGGTCACACATTCACCAGCTGGAAGGTCACACAGTCACCAGCTGGAAGGTCACACAGGCACCAGCTGGAAGGTCACACAGGCACCAGCTGGAAGGTCACACAGGCACCAGCTGGAAGGTCACACAGTCACCAGCTGGAAGGTCACACAGGCACCAGCTGGAAGGTCACACAGTCACCAGCTGGAAGGTCACACACCCCAGGAACGCGTGGTGCTTATTTGCACTCTTGCCTTGCGAAACCTGTGCATCTTTCCTCAATCATGGCGACTTTGTTTTATTCCAAGTTACAAGCTACTGAACATAACTAGGGTGTTTATAACAATAATAACCTCTTGGGTTGTCAAGTTCCCAAGCTCGTAGACTGTTTAATAGAGACCAAGCCGCCATGACTGAGGAAAGATGTAGAGGTTTCGTAAGACGACACCAGAGTGCTGGGCGAGTTGTGGCCCATAGCTGTTAGTTAATGTGACAGGAGAGACCCGAGTCTGTCCGTGACGGGTCGGTATATACGTCCAAACTTCTTATATACTGTCCTTATATGGAATATTATAACAATAGACAGGGGTGACACAGACCTGTCCTATACTGTCCACTGTCCATGTGCTCCAATGATCACCGTGTACTGTCCACCATGTCCGTCATGTACAGTACTGACCGTGTACTGTCCACCATGTCCGTCATGTACAGTACTGACCGTGTACTGTCCACCATGTACAGTACTGGCCGTGTACTGTCCACCATGTACAGTACTGGCCGTGTACTGTCCGTCATGTACAGTACTGGCCGTGTACTGTCCGTCATGTACAGTACTGACCGAGTACTGTCCACCATGTACAGTACTGACCGTGTACTGTCCACCATGTACAGTACTGGCCGTGTACTGTCCACCATGTACAGTACTGACCGTGTACTGTCCACCATGCACAGTACTCACCGTGTACTGTCCACCATGTACAGTACTGACCGTGTACTGTCCGTCATGTACAGTACTGGCCGTGTACTGTCCACCATGTACAGTACTGGCCGTGTACTGTCCGTCATGTACAGTACTGACCGTGTACTGTCCACCATGTACAGTACTGACCGTGTACTGTCCACCATGTACAGTACTGGCCGTGTACTGTCCGTCATGTACAGTACTGGCCGTGTACTGTCCACCATGTACAGTACTGACCGTGTACTGTCCACCATGTACAGTACTGACCGTGTACTGTCCACCATGTACAGTACTGACCGTGTACTGTCCACCATGTACAGTACTGGCCGTGTACTGTCCACCATGTACAGTACTGGCCGTGTACTGTCCACCATGTACAGTACTGACCGTGTACTGTCCACCATGTACAGTACTGACCGTGTACTGTCCACCATGTACAGTACTGACCGTGTACTGTCCACCATGTACAGTACTGGCCGTGTACTGTCCACCATGTACAGTACTGACCGTGTACTGTCCACCATGCACAGTACTGACCGTGTACTGTCCACCATGTACAGTACTGACCGTGTACTGTCCACCATGCACAGTACTCACCGTGTACTGTCCACCATGTACAGTACTGACCGTGTACTGTCCGTCATGTACAGTACTCACCGTGTACTCTATTACACACAGAAATCACAATAGCGTGATGCATCAAATGAACAAATCCACATGGGCCGTGCCAAGGGATCGAACCTACGTCCAAGAGGATCCCGGACGCTGACTTAATCGACTGAGCTACGACATGGTCAAAAGAATTGCAACCGGGAAATCATCCTGACCTACCACGGATCCTGCAGTCTCTCCGAGACGCAAACCAGAGTTTTACACAATTCCCCCTTATGCACCCGAGCTCTGTCAATAGGCTGTTCTACCCCTTTCTCCCTGAAGTAGGCCTACCTGTGGAACAAGTTGATAGGCAGGGGTTGAGTGAGTCTATGCCACACATTGCCTCTCTCGCCGGTGATCTGGTCGATGATGTGGGTTCGAGCCGGCTGCCCGGGCAAGAACTCCCAGACCTTGACGATCAGGGAGCCTTGGTTCCTTCCCAGCTTGTGGTAGAAGAGTCGCATCTGTGGTGGGGAGGATACACGTTAGGGTGTGAGGGGGGTGGGGGGGGTGGGGGAGGTGAGGGGGGGGGAGGGGGGGAGCCAGCAGAGAAGGGGGAGCACAAGGATCACCACTATACAGCACCACACGCACCCCAGGATCACCACTATACAGCACCACACACACCCCAGGATCACCACCATACAGCACCACACACACCCCAGGATCACCACCATACAGCACCACACACACCCCAGGATCACCACCATACAGCACCACACACACCCCAGGATCACCACCATACAGCACCACACACACCCCAGGATCACCACCATACAGCACCACACACACCCCAGGATCACCACCATACAGCACCACACACACCCCAGGATCACCACCATACAGCACCACACACACCCCAGGATCACCACCATACAGCACCACACACACCCCAGGATCACCACAATACAGCACCACACACACCCCAGGATCACCACCATACAGCACCACACACACCCCAGGATCACCACCATACAGCGCCACACACACCCCAGGATCATCACTATACAGCACCACACACACCCCAGGATCACCACTATACAACACCACACACCACCCCAGGATCACCACTATACAGCACCACACACACCCCAGGATCACCACTATACAGCACCACACACACCCCAGGATCACCACTATACAGCACCACACACACCCCAGGATCACCACTATACAGCACCACACACACCCCAGGATCACCACTATACAGCACCACACACACCCCAGGATCACCACTATACAGCACCACACACACCCCAGGATCACCACTATACAGCACCACACACACCCCAGGATCACCACTATACAGCACCACACACACCCCAGGATCACCACTATACAGCACCACACACACCCCAGGATCACCACTATACAGCACCACACACACCCCAGGATCACCACTATACAGCACCACACACACCCCAGGATCACCACTATACAGCACCACACACACCCCAGGATCACCACACACACACACACACATCAACAGGGGGGAACTGACCGTGCAGGACTTGTAGTATGCGGAGGTCTTGTTGCTGTGATAGCAGGGAGGAGGGTCGAAGAATGGCGACTCCAGCTCATACTGGTCCCCCAATTTGCCCGTCACAGGCAGCTCGCTCAAGATGTACCAACCTGGAGATAAGAGGTTACCGGGTCATTATATAGACTAAGCCAGCAGTTTACGATGTGTCTGCGCGAGGGAGAGAACAGAGAGAGGTACAGTTAGAGAAAGAGAGAGAGACAAGACACAGAGACAGAGGACACGACTCACCAGATCCGTTCTTCAAGGTGTGGTCGAAGGATGGTCCGGTTCGGTCCTTGTCCGTAGGCCCTCTGTGTCTCTTGAAGCTGTCGTAGCCGCCCGCGTTCCTCCAGCCGCACCAGCCGGCCTCGTAGTCGCACCTCGAGCCCACAGGTTCTGACTCTATTAGTGGCGACAAAATGTAAAGAATTAGATGCTATCGTCGGTTCGAAGACTGCTACTGGCAGGGGGGGGGGGTATTTTTACCCCTGTGGGCATGTGAGTGCTGCAGATACCCACTGAAATCATTTGTGGTATACTAGTACCCAAATCCAGGATTTACCTGCCCACTTACGAAACCTGTACATCTTTCCTCAATTATGGCGGCATAATCCGTATGTAATAAACAGTTTACAGGAGTGTAAACTCCACATCCAAAGGTTTTATTGTTACACACATCCTCACACCACTTCGGAGCTCATAAACTTGTACAAGTGTAAACAAAGTCGCCATGATTCAGGAAAGATGTACAGGTTTCGTAGTGAACACGTAAATGTTTGATTATTTCAGGGTCATTTTCAGTGCAAGTTGGCAAACAAGATTACAGGCCTTTTGTACCTCAGTGCAGATGGGTTTGGGAGGTTGTGTAATATCCACTGAATAATTAAGTTGCTAATGAGTACCAAACGTTTTTATTTGTCTTGTTGCTGCTACC